AATTAATAGATATTTTAAATATAATAATAATGATTCAAGACCAAAGACTATTCAAGTAATGTGTGGTGTATGCATAATGCTCAACAAAAGTATCCTGTCTTACAAAATGACTTAAGTTAAAAAGGTTGATGTGACTTGAAAGATCAAAGCAAAAAGTTTAATTGGCATTAAAAGGAGCTAGTCACTGTTGACGTCACTTGAAAGATCAGAACCATAAGTTAATTAACAATGAAAAAAGATTATTCTCTCTAACGCACTCAATCCGGCCAAAATGGTTGAATAAATTTGCAAAGACTATCCCAAGTCAAGATAAAGAAATTTGTAAGAATCGCTTATTTAAAATCAATAGATATTTTAAACACAATAACAATGATTCAAGATTAAATTTACAAAGACTATTCAAGTAAATGTGTGGTGTATGCATAATACTTAATTAAAGTATTCTGTCCTATAAAATGACTTAAGCTAGAAAAGTGGACGTGACTTGAAAGATTAAAACAATAAGTCTAACTGGCATTGAAGGAAGACTGGTAACTCTAACGCACTCAACCCGAATACAATGGCTGAGAAAATTTGCAAAGATTATCCCCAAGTCAAGATAAAAAAATTCATAAGAATTACTTACTTAAAATCGATAGATATTCTAAATACGGTAACAATGGCTCATGAGTCGTGACTAAATTTGGAAAGACAACTCAAGCTAGGATTAATAGATTCATAAGAAGTATTTCATTGTAAGCCGATTCATTTCATTCAAAATTAAATCCTTAAACCTAGTAGGGAACATGCATATCGCACTTATACTTCAAAATACAAATATAGGTACTTTTCACATAGTTACAACTTGCACAAACTCAAAGACAATTCAATTAATTCATTTATTCATATCTCATTTCATACATTAAATTCAAATTCTAACAGCATTCCTACGCAAAACTGTCCTTGCTCAATACAATATACGAAGCAACAAGTGGGCATAAAGTCACAAATTTCTTAACAAAACATTCACATATTACTGTCAGTCATTTAGTATGGTTGTAATTTTAAGTTTTTTATTTTGGTACTTAAAAATTTAGAAACCCTAAAATATAATTAAGTAGTTCAATAAATTAATTAAGTTTGGAGTTTCAAGTATTTGTTTTAAAATTTTATACCCAATAAGTTGGTAATTTTAATTTTTAATTTTAGTTTTAATTGTTAATTTTGATGGTTTGAATATATCAAAACTAGAAACTCAAAATCACAACCATATTAAACAAAGTCTTAAATAAAATCATTCTTAGTTTTCAACTTTTTATTCCATCAATTTCAATTTTATGCTCTTGAAACTTCTAATGAGACCTGAACTATTGTCATTTCTTTGTTCCCACTTATTTTTCTTGAACAAAGGAAAGTGTGGGCATGAAAAAACACAAAAAGGAAAAACAAGATAGGTAGAGCACTCCTAGCATCCACCTAAGATTGTTTAATGTTTTTCCTTCGTGGTTGTTTAACATTTTTCTTTGAGACAAAGGAGTTTAAGGATCCGTTCAGGTCCAATGTCTTCTCAGTTTCTACTTTTCTAGTAAACTCTATACTTAATTTCAACTATATTATTAGGTTTACCTCATGACTTCAGAAGTGAAATGGATCATTTAAGCCATCATCTTCTCAATGTTGTTAGCCTGTATGACGGAAACCCAAGAGGAGTGAATTGGGTATTCAAAAACTTATGCAATTTTTCAAATCAAATCAATGAGCAAAGAACAAACAACCGACAAACAATTAAATCTTATTAAAATAAATTGCAGAAATTAGAAGTTAAGAGAGGAGAAATCTTAAACACAAAGCTTTTTAGTGGTTTAGTCACAACTTATGTTTACTCCACTCCACAAGTTTGCTCTAGATTCAAAGCCTCTCCTTCTACTTTAAGAAGATTCAGTCATCATCATTGCCTTAATTGATTCTCAATGCTCTAAAAGATTTGCTTAATTCTTTCCTTGATTTCATTGAGTTGTAAGTGTACTATGTACAAAGATATGAATAACAAGTAACTTACTCTTCAATATTTCTACCTTTTCATTATTAACTTGAAATGCTTTATTTGATCAAAGTTAATTCATGTACAATATTTCTTAAAATGAATTCTTCTAATAAATAAATGGCATCAAGTGGATAAATATAAATTCACACATTCCACTAAATAAAAAAAAAAAGTTAATCATAATTACTATCATTGTCACTTAGGATTGTAAAATTCATTGTAAGTAGACATTGTGTGAATCATTTTCCTTATTTAATTGTGAACTTATCAAGGTAAGCTCAATTTGTTTTTGGTATATAGAGAGTTAACTGTTGTAGGATTTGAAACTCTAATCTTGACCCAAAATTAAGGTTTTGAAATTAGTATGAACCAACTCAATCAAACTCTTGTTGGTATTGTCAAGACTCAAATGATAGGGACTGAAGTAAACCTTGACGAAAAGAAAGGTTTGAATTTTATCCATCCCCAATTGTTAGTAAGGAGCCTTATTATGTGAATGCATATATATGACAGGAAGACATAAGCCCTAACCCTCTAACAAGAAGACTTGATTGAGCAAGGTCACCCTCACCATAACGTACTGAACTCATCAATATTGATTAGAAAAATTTGCAAATACTATTCAAATGAGATTAAGAAATTCATCACAACTGCCAACGAGAACCTTAAATTGGGTTACTAATGTTAGGCTCTTGAAACTTCTAATGAGACCTACACTGTGGCTTACTTCTTTGTCCCATTTTTTTCTTGAACAAAGTGAAAGTGGAGATGGAAAAAACTCTACTTAATTTCAACTATCTTAGTTTAACTTAATGAAATATCTTTAACAGTGAAATGGGTCATTTAAGCAATCATTTTCCAACGTTAATTCTTTCTGCACATCTTTTTTCCTTTCTGTTTCCTCTAGTCCAGTGTTATTAAAGGCGAACCAAAGTCACACTCACACCACTGAAATTGCAATTTGTATTATTTTCTATAAGTTTCAGCACTATTCCTTACTGACTAGAGACACAACTTAAATCAGCAAAATCAGGCCTTAATTCTATCAATAGAATGGTTTGAATTTCTCCATCACCACTTGGGTACAAACAATTCTGATGAGTCTTACTATGTGAATGCATATGTATGACAGGAAGACATATCCCCCACCCTCTAACAAGAAGGCTTAAGCAAAGGTCACCAAAAAAATGTTCTCAACCCAGCAACATTGACTAGGAAAATTTGCACAGACTATTTGAGTAAGCTTAAGAAATTCATAACTACATTTTTTGCGAGTCAATTAGCTCCATTCAAACTTAAATCCTTGAATCTAGTAGGGAACTCCTAAATAACACTAATGCTTCTAGATAGGTATTTTTCTCATACTTGCAAAATGCACAAATCCACAGATACTTCAATTTTATTCATGTCATCATTCTATTTATTGAATTCAAATTGTAACAACATCCCCACTCCTTCTCCCAACTAAAATCTCAGGCAAACAAGTCCTCAAATAAACAAAGGTAAACAAACGGTTTTTGTATATCATGGTTTTTGTATATCATGGGAGGAAAGGATGATGAAAAACCATGAACCCTAAATAAAACATGAGTTACACATATCCTTTCCACAAAATCTTTACCATTCATCTATTTAGATTAAGATTTAAATCGTGCTAAATCTGAATCAATCATTCATAATAGAGAGATGAATAGTCAAGATTTTGTGTAACAATTATGTAAGTGAATCCTAACACAAAACGTACATACATACCTACAATTTGGATCAAATTGGAAATGATTATCCAAACAATTCTTCCAAACGCAAGATCGTCAGCAGTCGGAGGTGAGAGGCGCCGGTCGATGACAGCCTTCTGACAGGCATTAATGGGGTTGATAAGAAAGTTGATAATAATAATAATAATAATAATAATAAAATCAAATTTCAGAAAAAAAATCAAATTGAAATATTCCAAACTGAAATTAGTAAAAGATGGAGAAGTAAATTGCAATTTAAATGTAATGATTCTTGACCTGATGGTGAAAAAAGGAATGTTTTTACACAAAGTGTTAAATGAACTTTATTACCTCAACTGCAACCGTTAATGGATCCGGCCCGAAAATCGGAACTCTCTCCGGGGATTACTCCGGCTATGAGAGTAGTAAGGGATTTCTGTACAGTAGAAGCCACATCTAGCGTCTCCAATTCCGAAAATCACTTTCCAGGTGGTTTTTGCGGTCACTGGAAATGGATAATACCAGCCGGAAGGAGATTTTCGGCGCCGAACACACCAGTTATGACCTCTTCGCTGTTGAAAACGTAGCATTTTTGCTAATTTTGCTGTCTTCCGCCGCCTGTGTCCCTGGTCATCGACGATCACAAATGCAGAGGCAGTAGAGGAAGTCAACAAGGCCGCTGAAGGGACAAGGATAAACGAGTAATTTTGGGTTGTTAGGCCTAAGACTTCCTTTTTGTCCAATTTCACCCTCAAACTTTATTTTTAGGCTAATTAAGCCTTTACTACAAGTCAATAGTCAGTGCCCTTCTCGGGATTTAAACTCTTTAAACGTAGGTTTCTTGCTTTCCTAAGAGTGGTTTATTGTGATTAATTGTTAAATTTTGTATTTTTGGTATATTTTGTACTTTTATTCTAAGAAAAGTTTAACTTTGAAATTAAATATTTTTATTAATGTGTTGGGTAATTAAATTATATATTAATGTTGACGAAAGTTTATTTGACTACCCACTTCTATAAAATCAATGATACATTAATCATATTGTTAAGATGAATTTTTAAACATTTAAGTGTGTAATTCAATTGCTTAAGTTAATTTAATAATTAAGACATTACATTACGATTATGTTATAATATATAAAGTGATATGACTTTCTATCAAACATGGTTTATAAAGATTTAAAAGTTCATGGAAAAATTACAAAAAAGAACTAAGGGCAAAATTGTGAAAAAAAAAGGATCAACTCCTTGTACATATTTGGTAAAATATTTGTCAGAGGGGCCTCCCAACTTTTAAGAGGAATAGCTTGACCCACTTCCTTTTGTGGGGTGTGTGGCTGTATATATTATTATTATTAAAAGCAGTTTAATTTATATGATTTTAGCCCATACATTTTAAGTCATATATTTTCATATAAAACAGTTTATTTGATATATTTAAATGATAATTTGATTTTAATAAGTTTATGTGGTTTGTCTTGTTAAATTTAATTAGTCTATAAGTTTTAATAACTTGTTTACAATTTTTCATGAGTTTTATATAATTTTCATTATTTGTTAAAGAGAGTTTGAACATAAAAACGTTTTGGAATTAAGTAAAAAAATTTTAAAAATTGAGGGACTATATAGCAAGAAGAAAAGTTACAATCATAGGCCTAAATGAATGATTTTGAAGTTTAAGTATCAAACTGTTTATAAAGTAGAAAAAGAAGAACACAGATGTGACATTTTACCTTTTAGGAAATTACTAAAAGATCCACAAAGCCCGACGTCGCCTTTATCGATGTTGACACCATCCGTTAAGAATTTGTTAAAGAAGCGTCGACACCCATACTGTGGTGTCGACTCTTCTGCGATATTTTCCAGATCCATCTTGATGCATCAACAAATTTAGGAATTTACGTGAGGCCTCGCGTATGGAATTCATCTATTAACTCAGCACCATGTCTAATTAATTTTTAAATAATAAAATTAAAAGATTAATATTCTTATTAAAAAAATTTTAAAAATGATAATTTTAATTAATTAAAAAAAATAATATCCTTTATTAGAATAAATAAAGTAATGATAAAAGTTTCATAATTATCCTAATAAGTCAAGTAATTCTGTTCTCATTTAGAGTTAGTATTTCTAATTCAAGTTTAATTTAAACTCTTGAGTTTAATAAACCAGGTTGTTGGATTCAGCCAAACTCTAAATGTCCAAAATATTAATTTGATTGGAAAAATTCAATCTTACTTTTTATTTTTTTTATTTATTGCTGGTTTAGATTATTAGTATTGTTAGGGGGTCTAAAAACCAAATTAATACAGTTAAAATTTTTACTTTCTAGTTACAAATCAAAGGTTATGTATTATTTTATAAAAGAAGTATAATATGATGTAGAATCAATTTTTTCACAAAAATAAGAAGTGTTTCTTATTATAATGAATTTATGCCATCTAAAAAGTTAGGCAAAAGTATATTGTTTTGTTTTTTTAGTTTATATATTACTATATGGATTTTTCTTTAATTTTAATGAACTTATTTTTAGTTTTGTTATCTATTCAAGAAATAAAAATATTTAGTTTTATTATCAATTCAAGAGAAAGATATTTGATTAGTTTTTTTTTGGTAAGTGATAAATTTTTTTTTTTTAGGTTTTGCAATTATTGTCTTGAAATTTTTTAGGTAATAGGTATTTTTTGAGCTTTTTTTTTATTAACATGTTAAGTAATATTTAAAAAGAGTAATTGTTTATATGATTTATCATTAATGTTGTCTTTTTAAAGTTTATCTAATTTTTTCTTCTCAATTTCTTTCTTCTAGACACTACATGCATTGAATCAATTTCTCTGCGCATGTTATGTTGCTGAAAATCTTTTATCAATTGAAATTAATTAATAATTATTTTTAATCAATATAAACAATGGACAATCCAGGTGTAAAGGACAATAAAAGTCTGGAGAAACTCGAATAGTATAAAATCATCCAAACAATGCCATAATATAATAATAAAAAGACAAAGAAAGAGATTAAAAAACCTTTTCAATGTGACAAAAGATAATACTAACCGTAAAATTGAAAGCAACAACAAATAGATAATATAGAAATTTCATATTTTTGTTTTGTTTGCTCATTAAATCATTCAAAAATAAAGTTTACCTTACATTGGTAATCATTAGATTACAAATTCAAGATTAAAATTTAAAACTTTCACTCACACAAACAGTTCTATTCTAGAAGATTTATTTAGAAATCAAAAGGTTCAACTAAGTGTATATCCAACATAACGCAGTTCTTTTATAAAATTCCTATGTCCTCAATCAATACTTCTCAAAACACAGTTAAGCTCAACACATTTTCACATTGCATACAACATATAAACCCCAAAGTCGTTGAATAGAATCATAGCTAAGAACTAAGCCATTGATTGATAACCAAAATTATTTATTTTAACATTTCAAGGGAAAAAAGAGTCACATGTTAGGATCTTGCAGGAATATGGAACGTTGATAATTATTTATCCATGCACATCTCCAAAGTCCTTCCTCCATACCAATGTTGTTTAGTGCCACACCCATTTTAGAGTTCTGTCATATATATAAAAAAAAAAAAAAAAAAAAAAAGGCA